CAGTTTAAGGCGGGAAGGGGCGGCCCCGGCGGGCGGTGCTCGGGGCGGGGTGTCGCGGCGGACAGAGGGACAGAGGCGGGGCCGTGGTCCAAGCGCAGCTTTAGTGCGGTGTCACCGGGCGGGCCCGCCGCCGTACCAGGCCCAGCCGTGCAGGGCCCCGGCCCCCGGGCCGGCCCTCCCGGTTAAGGCAGACGGTGGCAGGGAAGCGGCGAGCCCCATCCTCCCCCTCGCCTCGGGGCATCGGGCAGGTGCCACGGAGCGCAGCCCCGGCCCCAGCCCCACGGCAGCGTGCCAGCCCCCACGGGCAGCCAGGACCCCGACCAGGGGCAGCCATCCCAGAGCAGCAAGTGAGTGCCCACCCGGAGCAGAGTGTGCGGGCAGCCCCCGGCCAGGCCCTCACTCCTGGCCAGGGTTGGGCTTGATGAGGCCGTAAGCCACGGCCTGCGCCAGGCTCTCCTTGGCCGCCTGGGCCACACGCGGCTTGTCCTTGTCCTTGGCGAGCACGGAGAGGATCTCCAGCATCTCGCTGGCGATGAGCTGCTCCGCCACCTCCCGCTCGGCCGCCATCATGTTCATCACCACCACGGCCCCGCGGTGCTGCAGCTCCGTGCTGGGGCTCAGCAGCAGGGCCTGCAGGATCTCCAGCCAGTGCACCGTCTGTGGGGGCAGGGGGGCCGCACTCAGCGCTGCTTCCCATGAGAGGGGGGCCAGCTCCCCGCAGCCCTGATGGCCCCCCGACACCCCCAGCCCCGGCTCAGAGTCAGGCTGAGGTCAGGACAGGTTGCTCCACCTCCTGGGGCCAGCGCTGGGACACAGCTCCAGGACATCAGGAGAGGGAATATGGGACACTGGGGGCTGTCCCGCCACTGGGCACTCACCACCTGGGGGATCCGCTTGCAGATGGGGGGGTGCAGGGCGGTCAGCATGGCCAGGGTCCCTGAAGCTGCCCGCCGCAGCTTCTCGTCCTCCTCCCCACTGTACAGGACCATCAGCTTCAGCCGGTCACTACCCTCGGCCAGGAACAGCTCCTGCACCTGCAGAGGAAGAGGGGGGCACGTGGGAGTGCAGGGGGCTGGGAGCCCAGGGCAGACGCCCAGCCTACCCTGGCCCAGCCCTCACCTCCTTGCTCATGGCCATGTTGCACATGCACTCCGTGGCAGCCAGCCGGATTAGCTCGTGCTCCTCAAACATGTAGCCCTCGATCATGGGCACAGCCTTCTCCTTCAGGATCTTCTGCCTGCAACAGGGCAGAAGAGCGTGAGCACTCCCTGTGCAAGGGCAGCACGCCTCCGGGCCAGACAGGGACAGGCCCCCTCTCTCCCCCCGACCTGGTCCAGCTCCGCGCTAGCCCCACTGCCCCTACCGCAGCCTCTCGCTGATGCCAGCCAGGTTGGTTAACGCCATCAGCCCCTCGAAGTTCTCCAGGCCTGTGCGCTGAAGGTGCAGAAGGCTTACCAAGGGCCGGACCACCTCATAGATCTGTGGAGACAGCAGTGCAGGGCTCGAACCCTGAGCGAGGGAGGTGCAGGGAGCTTTGAGCCCAGCCTAAAGGCAGAGCTGCTCCCATGGTCAGGCCTAGGCCGTCAGGCCTTTGTGGGGAACATCAAGGGTCGTGCCACCTCCTGCTCCCCAGGGAAGGGCAAACCCATGCTGGCAGTTCCTGCGACACAGATCCCGCCTCAGATCACCAGTCCTGCAGCCTTTAGCTCCAGGGCTGCCGAGCCCTTTCCCAGTGGGCAAGGAGGAGCAGAAGCCTACCCTATCCCAGATGCTGCACACAGGGACTGGGGCAGCTCCTACCAGGGCAGCCCCCCCTCGCACTGCTCAGCCCGATGCCTCCCCAGAGCAGACACACGCCTGGCTGCAGCAGCCCGGGCACACACGGCGGGACGAGCCCCTGCTGCGGCCCCGCCCCCACTGCCGCTCCCATGCAAGCCCCTGCGCAGCCCCGACTGCCCACACAGGGCCCCTGCTTGGCAGACCCATCCCCGCAGCGGTGACACTCACCCGCTCTCCGGGGAAGGCCATCTCCGGGTTGGAGGTGATGGTGATCTTTGCCAGGGCCTGAGCTGCCTTGGTCTGCCCCACCTCGGTGCCCTCCAGGGACAGTGGGATGAGAGCCTGCAGACGGAGACACAGCAGCCAGTCCTGCAGCCAGGTCACAGCAGCCCCAGCTTCCCCAAGTCTCGTGTATGAGGGAGCCAGTGTGGTCCCCTGCCAAACTACAGCCACCCTCCCCCAGAGCCCCAGCCCTCCCCAGAGCCCCACTGGGGGGGAGCAGCACAGCACTGCACAGGCCAGCAGCACCGCGAGGCCTGTCCCCTTACCTTGCCTCCTCCCTGCGCAACCACACCACCCCGGTCTTCTGCCTCCTCCACCAGTGCCAGAAACACCCTAGGAGTTCAACAAAGCAGGAGCAGCTGGAGTCAGGGACCTGCCACAGTGGGTCCCAGCAGCACCCAGACATCTGCAGTGGGCCCAGGCTGTACCAGACTCCCGGACACCCCCTTTCTGCTCCTAGGAGCTTGCATTCACCACAGGCATGTAAGTTCGCTGGCAGGACACCAGCAGGACATTGGCAGCCTCAGAACCCAGCTCCCTCCCTGCCACTCCCCTCCACACCCGTACCTGGAGATCAGCTCCCGGCAGGAGTTGGTGAGCGCCGGGTTCTCGCTCTTCACCATGCAGGCCAGAGCTGACACCACACCAGCCGTCAGCAGCTTCCTCACCCGGCGCTTCACGAAGTCCGGCTTGTCCTGTCCCAGAGGCAGGGTCACCGCTTGGCTCAGTGGCACCAGCCTGCCACCTGCTGCCATCCGCTGTGAAGTCTCTGACCTCACCCCTGAAGGCCCCAGGGACACCCTGTCCCCACTCAGAACCCTGGGCTCTGCCCACCCATGCGCCCTCCCCAGGGCCAGGGCTCCTGGCAGCTCCTGAGAATGGCCGTGCTCTGCTCACCTTGGGGTGCTGCTCCGGAATGTGCTGCTTGGCATACTTGGCCAGCTCCAGCATCTGGGGGTCTGGCTCCTCGTGGTCGTAGCTGTTGGTGCAGTTCACTAGTGTGGAGGCAACCGCGTAGAGCACACTCCTGTCCTCTGACTGCAGCAATAATGGGACACCCATCACACCCACGATGGAGAGGACAGCCCAGGGCTCGAGCCCACCCAGCACCACTGGGCCCTTGCACACACCCCATTCCCGTAGCGTGAGCCCCACAACCCCCTTCGGTGTGTTTCCCCAGTGCCAGGGCGCCCATGACCCAGGGCCCCCGCCACAGTGCTCAGCACGCACCTTGGCCAAGTGGAACATGGCCTGCATCGCTGCCTTGTCCTCCACAAACTCCTCCTTGACGTCCGCATCGAAGGTGAGGTAGGCCAGGCCCTCCACCGCCCAGCGCCGCGTGCCCGCATCGATCGTCTCATTGCAGAGCCACCTGGGAGATGGGCCCCATGAGCCCAGGCTGCGGGGCACCCTGCCCGGCTCCCCCCCGCCCCACAGCCGGCAGCACTCACTTGCGGCACTGCTTGGCCAATTTCATCGTGGAGCCCTCGGCAAACTGTTTCATGCTGAAGTCGGTGCCTCCGGCAGATCCCAGCTTGCAGAGCCCCTGCAGCCAGGGGCAGAGCATCAGAGCAGGAAGGGCCACGGTCACCCCGAGGCGCCTGCGAGAGCCCCCCAGCAGGGAGGGGACAGCGCTGCGGACCCACAGGCCCTGCAGCCACAGCCCACCCAGCACCACCCAAGGGCTCGGCACAGCCGCTCCTCCCGTCCCGCCACACTCCCGGCGCGCTCACCACCAGCGCCCGGATGCGGATGCTGTCCCTCTCGCTGTGCTTGTAGATCTCCTTGAGCAGGCTGACGCCGTTGGCAGTGATGAAGGAGGCACGCTTGGCCTTGTCGGCAGCGTGGATCAGTGCCTCCACCGCTACCAGCTGGTGGGCCTCGCAGACAGAGGCACAGAGGGACAGCACGCTGTCCATGATCCCCTCCAGCTCCAGCACCCTGTTCCCAGCATCCGAGGGGCCTTGCAGCAGGCATGACACCGTCTGGATGGCCCGCAGCTTCCCAGCCAGCTCGTGCCCCTCGAACCAGCTCCTGCAGGGGAAGACCACCAGGAAGGATAAGGCTGATCCCACCCACCGCCTTCAGCCACACGCAGCCCCACCTGCTGAACCCCAACACAGCAGGTCTCTGGTGGGTCTGCAATCTGCTTTTATCACTAAGGGCAAAAAGGTGGCGATAGAGGTGCTGCTACTTCCCCAGAAGGGTGCTGGCTGTATGAGACTGAACCCCCCGCTCCGCCCCCAAGGACGCCCCGGCTCACCTCACGTAGTCCTCGCACAAGTGGTGGAAGTTTTCTCTCTCAGCATCGCATTTCAGGTCATCGTAAAGTTTGCTCAGCAGAACTGAGGCACTCATCCGGCTGTTCTCTGTCACGGGCAGGCTGCCCGGGGCGCCGCACACTGTACTTCCCACCTCCAGGATCTTCTTCAGGCCTAGGAGAACGTGAGGTCAGACACCCCAGTGAGGAGCAAAATGGGGTGCGCAGGCAGAACAGAGGCACGCGGCACCCCGAGGCAGAGGGGCGCGATGCCCCAGCGGGATGCTGCAGACTGTTCTGCTCACCCTGGTCGATCACCCAGAGGCTCAAGCTGTTGTTGGTCTCCTTTGGCGACTTCCTGGGCACCACCTTGATGAGCAGGTTGAGGGCATTGTCACGGCCGTGCGCAGAGGCCCCTTCCAGTGCTAGCAGCTCCAGGAGGTGCTTGATCAGCAGTTTCAGGTCCTTGGAGGAATCTTCCAGAAAAGACAGCGCCCAGCAGTCAGCGCCCTGGGCACAGGCCTCACCCCAGCCTTGGTAAGGCTGGCAGGAGATGCTGCCATGACCAGGGGCTCCTGCCTCCCAGCTCAACCTCATATTAACCCTGACCCAGAGCGCCGGCTCTGCGGCAGGGAGTGGTGACAAGGTGGGCAGCGGGAGAAGAACCCGCTGCAGCTCAGTGCCTCCCCAGGACACGCTCCCCACCCCACGCCAGCCAGCCAGGGCAGCAGACACTCACCCAGCACCACCGCATCCTCCTTGCCACGGAAGTCCTTCTGAAGCCCCTCCTTCAGGGAATCGAACATCACGTGCAGAAGGTTGCAGGCAGCCAGGGAAACCTGCTCGTGCTCCACACCCAGCACCGCTGAGAGACGAGGGGCCCCCAGCTCCACCAGGA